GTGTTTCTGCGCAGTGTACCAGGGGCACGGAGAAAAGTTGTTGTACCATAGGCACGAGGAGTGTATATGTGTGTGTGTGCGTGCGTGTCTGTCTCACCTGGATGAGGAGCTGCTGGTCACAGGTCCTCCGCCCCCCAGCAGGTTGGCGAGTCCCGGTCCAGCTAGAGCTCCCAGGCCTGCTTAGAAAAGACATCAGATCAAAAACCTGGAATAGCCCCGCCCCCAGCTACACGTCACACCTGAGACGGCTTCACCAGTGCTTCTGAGAGCAGTACACCTACGTCATCACTGGAAACTCTTTTTCATACAGACGTGCAGCCCTGACAAACCTAACTACATATTGAGGCGCCGCGTGTGGAAGGCTGCGGCGGAGGGTTGAGTGGGATTTCCTGTTATGGCCGAAATTAGGATGAAGTTTTTCTGCAGAACTTTAAACCAAACTTGACCTTTAGAGGCAGAGAATAACTTCCAGGGACTGCAGCAGGTGTTCATGAACTACGTGCAGGTGTGTAGGTCAGAGCGCTCACCGAGACCTCCGAGCCCCGTGGGTCCCATCAGCTGCATCAGCTGGTTGTGGCTCATGTTTCCCAGCAGGTTCTGCAGGCCGCCCTCTCCACCCAGCGCTGACAACTCGTGGCCACCGCCGCCGCTGCCGGATGCTCCGGGGATGGGAGGGTTGTTCAGGTACTCGTTGACCTTCCTGCAGTACTCGTCATCTTTGTCAGTCTTTGGCTCCTGATGGCATCAGAGCAGAGTTATTGCTACTTACAGGTTCTCGTGGCTCGCTGTAATCATGCAAGTGTGTGTTTTTAATGGTGCAATGCTGTGAGCTGTTCATGTATATGTGTGTGTGTGTGTGTGTCAGCCTTTAGTAAACACGCTCTTTTAATATCAGATGCAGCCTGATGAAGGCGCTCTAACACTGACATCACATGAACTAAGACGTTCCCCTCTGGGATGAAGACGAGCTCACCTGCATCCAGAAGAAGAGCCGCTTGGACCCGGCCTTGAATTTCAGGACGTAGACACGTCCGGTGGTGCACTGTGTCACCCTTTTAAACTCACAGTCGTCAGGGAAGATGATCAGGTCCTGTAAGAGGAAACAAACAGGAGGAGACATTTAAAGGAGAGACATGGGGCTGCTCTCACACATCATCAAATACCAACCAATCAGAGAGAGGGAACCAGAGGCAGCAGCTCTGAGTGAAGGCGCTGAAATAACGAGAATCATGTGACTGATCGGATTTGAAATCATTTCTTTCAGGACTTTGAGCTCTGCTCAGTGAGATCAATCTGTGGGTGTGGAAGGATGAGTATGTTCCACTCAAGAACACCTCAGTGCCTTAACCTCCTAGGCTGTCCACATATGTGGACGTCACATTTTGGGTTATTTAGACCAAAATACTCAATTTTGCTCTACAAGGGCCTGATATACACTTATGAGGACATTATGCTGCTACTGTTCTATCAACATTTTAAATGAATATCCTCATATGTGGCTCTCATTTGTCTTAGAAACAAAAATTAGGTTAAAAAAATATCTGGTAATTCTTTGTTTTTACATTCATCAGGTCCCAATCAGCCCAAATATCAAAGAGAAATTAAAAATGCTGCCGTGGAAGAGTTCGGGTCTTAGGAGGTTAAACCAGCTCATGTGGGTAGAGGCCAGGAAGTGGTTAAGTTTCAGTGCTGACTCCGTCAGCTTTACCTGACCTCACGGAGGAATTTCTGCTTTATGGAAGCGGTGCACAGAGAAATGAGGAAATGAAGCGCCAATGTGCGCTGGCCTCTCTGAGCTCCACCCTGTGAACATCAGGAACCACAAACACTCGACTGGTTCAGGGTGACTCACATCATCTACGTTCCCCGTGGTCCGGTCCTTCCAGCAGAAGTGGATCAGAGAGTCATCGGACTGCTGGATGTAGACCAGCCCTTTCCGTTTGTCCGGGGTCACCGTGTTGCCCTTCAGGTTCATTTTACCTGCTCGAAACTCCACCAGGTACTTGCTGGAGCTTGCTCGGGAGCCGCTGACCATGCTGGGGAAGAGAGCGCCTGAAGACATCTTTGAAAGTTTTTGTTCACAAAGCCTGATGGGAAAGAAAGGAAGGAGCAGAGGGTCAAAGAACAGGCTGCAGTGAGATCACTCAGAGATCTTACGTCAGCACGTTAAAGCGTTTGACGTTTATGTGTCACTAAATAAAGTCTCCGATGTCTTTAAACATGATAATAACCAACAAACTCAATAAAACTCAAGTTTAACTTGAACTGTTATCTTTAATTATTACCCTTCACTCTTACATTTCCACATTAGTTCTCATCTCATCACGTATCGATACCTTTGATTAAACAAATCAAAAGTATCCGTTCACGTCTAGAACGTAGGCTTGAGTCGCTCTGCTTTGTCCTGTGTTACTGTTTTTATATTCATATATTCTGTTGGTAAATCATCGTGTCTGCGCGTATAGCGGCTGAGGAGCACTGTGCTGATGATTAATGAGGACTCTTAATTATTTTTTTGTTATATTTGTGTCTTAAAAACACTTTTCAGAAAAGCTAAAAGTTAGCCTGCTAGCTGCCGTTAGCTGTGGCGTGCTAACGTTAGCACATGACGAGGCTAAACAGAACACCACAGTAATATTCACTGCCTTCGCTTAACTACGGTCAGTCAGACTTTAGAAACAAGAGCCAGCTGTGCATCTGATGGCTTTCCGGCAACTTTTCTGTGAAATGTGAATTTTGTTGAGCTCTCCAGAACAAATACCTGAAGTTGTGCCCGCAGAATAAGTTTTTCTACTTCTTCGCGTCGCTCAACGCCAACGTCAAAGATGATCTACGGAGGGACTAGACTTCCGGTTAAACCCACTGTACAGAAACAGAATCCAGACCAGCCGGCGGACAGTGGAGGGCGCTCCCATAGTGTTAAAATAATGACAGTATAAGAATAATGCCATTTGCTGCCAAACAAAAAATGTTATTTTAGTTTCCATAAATCCAGCACAACATCTGAAACACGACTCCAAATAGGTTTGATCACATTTATGCCGATTTTGACCATAAACACAGACATCCTGTTCTGATTGGTTAGTTAAGGTTTTGCAGCAGGAGGTCCTCCAATCGATGGGTCCTGTTTTCAAACGGTAACTCCAGCAGACCACCATATTTCTGTCATTTTCTTAAGGATGTGGAATTGTACATAAAATCAATATCAGGAGGCAGCACGGTGGTTAGCACTGTTGCCGCAGAGCAAGAAGGCCCTGAGTTCAATTCCACCGGGGGCCGGGGTCTTTCTGTGTGGAGTTTGTATGTTCTATCCCTGTTTTTGCGTGAGTACTCCGGCTTCCTCCCGTCCAAAGACTTGCAGTTTGTGGGGATAGGTTAATTGATTAATCAAAATTGCCCATAGGTGTTAATGTGAGAGTGTGTCTCTGTTATCCCTGCTACAGACAGGCGACCTGTCCAGGGTGTGGCCCGCCTCTCGCCCTATGGCAGCTGGCTCCCGCGACCCTGAAAAGGATAATCGTAAGCGAATAGATGCATGGATCAATATCAGCCTCCACCAACAAAAATGCTCTCAAAACAGTATATAAAATTGAATTTTTGCGTGTATTTATATATTTTTTTTACCCCTGGTTTTGTGTGTTCATGTTCTGTTCTCTTGTATTCGTGATCTGTTTATATGTTGTATACTCATTGTTTGTTCAATAAAGTTCCTAAAAACACTCCAGCAGACGTTAGGAGCGTAATTAAAGTGAGCAAGAAGCAGCTGGTTGTGATGGTTAAAGGTGAAGCTATCAGGAGGCTGCTGCTGGCGGCTTACGGTGCTGTGAGGTCCGTAATGCTCGCATAAGGGTTTTACCACAAAATAAATAAGTAAAACATCTAAACACACAACGGAATCTACCGCCTCGACGCTTCTATCACAAACAGGGTTAACGTAAAACGTTTATCCCGGCTCCACGGAGTGCCACAAGCTCGACAGCGTCTCCTGTGGAGCAAGAAGCTCAGACAGCGGGCCGCTCTTCGTGATTTCCTGAGCGCTTGTGAGCGCGCCTGCTGTCAGCGGGAACGAGCAGGGCAGAAAGTGGGAGGGTTTGCGCGCGGCCGTTGTGTTCGGATTGACTGCGCGCCCCCTCCCGGTGTAGCCGTTAGCTCGGTGTCCGGTCGATGTTTTAGCGGCGGAGCGTGGACTGGAAGTGGGATGATAGTGTTGTAAACGTCGAGCCAGGCTTCAGCGACCGAGAGAGGACCAGCAGCCGCTCCGCCCCCGGGACAGAACAGGTAAGAAGCCCGGGCTAGCCGCTGACGTTAGCCGCGCCGCCGTCCTTGGATTAGACTCGGGCTAACAACATGGATGCTGCTGCTCTCACGCTTGCAGATTATCCGCTTTAACCTCGAGCTGAGCCCTCCGCCGTGACCGGCCAGCTCCGGTTTAGGTGCCTGGTGTGAGGGGCTCGGGCGGACTCCCGGTCCTCGTTAGTGTTTGTTCAGATGTGACGGATCTAATCGAGGGGAGACGAACGGGATAAATCCGGCTTATGGGCGGGGGAGGGGTGTGGGTCCGTCGGTTCTGATCAGAGGTCAGCGCCGTGTGGAGCAGGTGGGGTTACAGGTCGTGGGGTGCAGGTGGGTACTGGCCAACACCGTGAGCTGCACCTGTCCCCTCAGCAGGGGCGTAACCACGGTTTTTAAAAGGGGGCATGCGGGATGATGTTCCTGATCCTCTCAGGGTCTCTTCTTGGATATAACCGAGGATGTTTTTTGGCTCCCCCTGGTTACCATCAAGGTCAAATTAATTTTAACACCAGAGCTGTGTGCCCACTGCTGTTCTCCCCCTAAAGTTCCCTAAACTCACTCTTTAGTTCAGGCTGATCCCAGAGGCTCAGAGTTAATAACAGGAAGTAAAACTGCTAGCAGGATGTGTTTTAGCTTTGGTTTATCAAGAACACGAGACTTCTCCAGGGTGATGTCACCACCAGCAGTGGTTGGTGATCAGTTATGAGCATATTATCACCTTATCCACCCTGGTGTTGTGGGTAGGGGGACGTGTCTGGCCTTAATGAGCTTTGAAATATGAATAATGGTGAAGCCTTACCTGTGCATGCTGTCAGACACCTGCGAGTATGAGCACACAGCTGAACAAACAGCAGGACATCCAAAACCTAACAGGAAGATTCATGCCTGACCGTGTTTCCTTCACTCCTGAATCCCAGGACCTTTTACTGCTTCTTGGACTGTTACTGGGATTTTGGGCCCTTGGTGAAGTTCACACCATTACCTTTAGGCAACAAGCAGAGCTGAAGATGCTCAGGTGTTCCCTGGGAGTGAGTACGATGAGTCCATCAAAGGGACAGCTCAGAGTCTGAGAAGTGATGCTTAGATGGTGCAGAGGAGGGAAGGTGGATATATTGGACAAAGGATGATGAAGATGGAGCTGCCAGGCAGGAGGAGAAAAGGCAGGAGGTTCATGGATGTAGTGAAGGTTATGCGACAGAGGAGGATGCTGGGATCAGCTGTGAGCAGCTGAAAGGAGGAGGAGGAGTCGGGTCTATTACTGTGTTTCATCAGCAGGGACACAGATGGACTCTAATTGCTGCCTGGTCTCTGAGATATGATCTGCAGATCTGCCCGTCCCATTGGCCAGCTGCTGCGTGACCTCAGAGTCGGTGTGAGGCGCTTTCATCTGTTTATGTTTTAAATCTTTCATGACCTGCACACATCAGGGCTCCTAAAGTCAATTTTAACTGAGTCAGCTGGTCTCTGTTTGATGACTGATGATGACATCACTAGATCTGACACAAGTGGTCACCGATGAGTCATGTGACTTTCATTCACATCGGATCTCGTGATATCACAGCAGTTAGCGGTCAGCTGAGAGGAGCTGGATGTGGGGCTGTTATTGAATACCTGATAGGTGTGTTTAATATACTTTAGGGTGTAAGATGGATAAAAGGCATCGGAGCATCACATTTAAAAATAAAATTAACATATCTGTCAACGCTCATTGATAGCTGCCTCTTCTCCTGTCGTTCAGCCTGCGATCAGCTGTTCTGCAGCTTCCTGTCACGCAGTTTGAGCCACGAGGACCCTTAAAACCCTAAAATTATCCTCCAGCTGGGACCAGCTGGCAAATGATGCAAACTCAGCAGCCTGCTGAGTGCTTTAAGGTGATACTGTGCAAAGGAGGTAACACCTCGAATCTGATGAAACACCTGGTGACACATAGCTAAAAACCCAAAGAGGAGAGTCCTGGCCCCGAGCCCTGCCAGTGTAGCAGAAATGATGAGGATGATGATGCAGCAGCAGCCGTTCTTCTCTGTGTGAGTAGCTTAATGAGTAGGCTAACCACGTTATTACATTAATGCATGTAAGGTAAACTAGCAAACACCGTCGTAGTTACATGCGGCTGTCTTCTTGTTTGATAGAGTGATAGAAAAGGCTAACATTGTTATCTTTTTACAAAAAAACAGTTAAACATGAGGTTTTAGGACAAAGTTTGTGTTTTCCATTCTTTAAGCACCGGTTCCAACCAAAGGAGGTATGTTGTATCAACAGAAAAGGCTAACTTGGTTAACATGTTGCAGAAAAAAAGAGACTGCTAAAAATAAAAACATGAGAGGTTTTTGGACAAAGTTTGTTCTCCATTCTTTAAGCACCGTTTAAGCACTGGCACTGTTTCAAAAGTACCGGTTTGGCACCGGTATCGGATAAAACTAAACGATACCCATCCCTAGATAGGCTTCATGCTGTCAGAGAGAAAACCCACCAATCAGACAACCTTCTGTGAGCAGCACTCGGTGACAGTGGGAAGAAAGAACCCCCTTTTAAAAGAAAGAGCCAGGCTCAGGCAGGGGAAAGATGCTCGTTGTGCTGCTAGAAGGAAGGAAGTCAGATGCTGTGACCGTTAGGGAGTCACAGAGTCCTGACTGCTAAAACCACAACTCAGGTTGTTTTAGCTCCTCACAAACACACCTGAGCTGTGCTTTTAAGATGAGTTACAGGGCATGGCATGAAGAGCTGCAGGTGGAAGCACAGGTGGAGTCTGGTTTTTTGTTTGTTTTGTTTGAGGTGGTGAGAAGCTGTAAGTCACGTTTATGGTCTGTAGGAATCATTTAACACAGACTGTATGTGAAAGATGGACTTAGCAGCTGTGAGGTCAGCTGGGGAAGGTGTTCACTGAGCTCGGAGATCAAGCAAGGCTCTTTTCCTCACAGACTTCTATCCAATCAGAGCAGAGGAGTCACCCCCTGCTGGACATCCGAGCGAATCCAAGTTGAAGATTCTCCAGCAAGCACGCAGCAGTTTCAACATTACTGGATTACAGGAGGATATGACCTCAAACTGTGTGGCTGTTTCTTTAATCTCATAAAAGTGCAGATGAGGTCAGAGGTCACATGCTGTGATTAAACATTCACCTTTACTGCAGCGTCCTGATGAGAGACGTGACACAGACACGGCACTGGTTTGACTCATGATTGCCTCAGGCCATCCTATCGCAGGCAGTCGTGTGATTGCAGGTCATCTGACTGCAGGTGAACCTTCACCTTCCCTCCTCTGGCGTCGCTCGCCCTGCCTTAGATCAGTTGCTTCTTCCTCCCCGTCTCTGCTGCCTGAGCGCAGGAGACGCTGTGAGTTTCAGAGCTGTTGTGTTAATTGTGTTGAGGCGTTGTTCATCTGGAGTGCTTTTTGATTGGACAAGCAGATCAGTGTGATCTCAGCTGCTGTGTGTCATCATGGCGTTTACAGGAAACGCATGACGGACGTAAGAACATCACTGAAAATGTGAAGTTCAGTCAGTTTGTGTGTTTCATTGGAGTGTGCAGCTCACTGATGAAGCTTCTGACTGCATGCTGATTGGACATAGTTCTCAGGTTTTACTGCCCCATGTTCATTTTTATTGGCTTGTGAAAAAAGTTTTTATTTTTGTTTAAATATTAGTGAAATTTAATTAACAGTGTTTTAAATTTTCTTTAAATCATTTTATCTGAAAAATGTTTGGAGTGTCTTGAAATGATCAAGTGCCTCCCGTGCCCCCCTGCAGACTCACCCCTGTGTGCCTGCAGGTGAAACTCTTTGCTCTCTGCCGTGCGTGCTATGACATCATGGTCAGCTCGTATATGCTCATACCTGATACTCACGTGCTGCTCAGCTGTGTTTCTACTCACTGGTGTGGGAGAAACTGGCGCTTACGTGGATGAATTTGTGCAAAGGAGAAAGCTGGAAGAGATTTCAGGCTCAGACGCTGAGAAGATGATGTTCTGTGGCTGATCTGTAGGCGACACTCGCTGAACGAAGTGAACGCTCAGGCTCCCGACTCATGCAGCAGCTGTGTTTACTGAGCCAGCTGCAGCTGTCGATTACAGCCCTGTGTGTGTGTGAGCCAGCATGAATGAATTATACCGTCTGTTTGTCTCTGTGGTTTTCTTCTCACTGGTTTCACCCTCAGATGCGTCCCCCGAGGTGACGTTTATCCACCTCACCTGCCAGCTGAGCTCCATCGCTGCGGTCGTCCCGCTCTGCTCATTATTTCAGCTCCTTTAAGAACCTACACATCCAGAATGATCTGGATGATCTGATCAACTGAGGACTGTCTGACACATCAGAGCGGTCTTTCTAGAAGCATACACCTGAGAGGTCAAAGCCCCGCCCTCCAGAGA